TGGGATCTAAGCGAAACTGCACAAGGCATGTAGTCCGACACCTCGGCACTGTAGCAGACAGAGTCAGCTGATACATCAGGCCTTCTGCAGAAAGAGCCTTGTGCAAAAGGGGCTCATTGGTTTTTAGAAGATTGCCCATGACTGAATAGTTAGTGGGAAGTTCATTTCACAGTGAGAAAAAGGAAGGCTGTTGGGCCATGAATTATGTGATAACTTGGCAAGGCAGCTTGAGTGCGTCATGGGGAAAAGTGTGTGGGGAGCGTGACTGAAAGGAGACCGTGGCACAGCCTCTGACTGCCGGGGCCGGGCTTCCCGGACGTGGGAGCGGGAGGGCTCCCACATGTGTGGGCTGTTGGGGCGCAGTAAAGGTCGTCGTTTCTTTGCAGATAAGTTTCTGGTTGGAATTTACACGCATACACACACACACGTGTATATATAGATATATATATCTATATATATCTATATATATATCTCGTCTGATACAAATATATATTTGTGCATTTATATATTTGTACATGTATATGTCTGATACACGTATATAAACATACACATATATACACATATATATTTTTGTTTTGCAGAATACAGATGCTGTTCATCTTGCTCTGAAGTTAAATAATTCTGAACTGATGGGAAGAAAACTCAGAGTCATGCGTTCTGTTAATAAAGAAAAACTAAAACAAAATTCAAATCCCAACTTGAAGAATGCCAGTAAACCTAAGAAGGGATTTAATTTTGCTTCAAAAAATGTAGGACATTCTAAAAGTTTATTTGTTGGAGAAAAAGCTGTTCTTGTCAAGAAGAAAAAGAAAGGACAGAAGAAAAGTGGACGAACTAAGAAACAGAAAAAACAGAAGTAGCCATCTGAATTGTTTTTTCCTACTGAGTACTATTAATAAAAGTGTGGTGAACTCGTGTATTGAGTTTCAGAATTTTTTATGGGTGGTGCATGTGAATGTGGAAACGTTTTCAGTTATTTGCATTGTAACAGTACCTTTGAAGCATCTGTTTTAAGATGTAGGCAGGTTAGTTACCACAAGTTATGTGTTACTGTTAATGAGGAGATGATTTTAGAGTTAGGGTAAACATTTAGAGTTTTAGTGGTTATGTATTATTTTAGTGTATGATACAGATATATAATTAACACATAAGACAGTTATTTCAGGAATTACTTTGAAATGAGAGAATAAATTAAAAAGTAAATTTAAAGAAAAATAAAACATCAGCCCTGAGGTTGCTGGTTGGTTCCCAGTGAGGGCACATGCGGGGTTGCAGGTTCAGTCCCAGGTCTGGGTGTGTGTGGAAGGCAACCAACCAGTCAATGTTTCTCTCCCTCTATCTCTCCCTACCCCCTCTCTAAAATAAAAATAAATAAAACAGCCCTGTCTGACGTAGCTCAGTGGATTGAGCGCGGGCTGCGAACCAAAGTGTTGCAGGTTTGATTCCCAGTCAGGGTACATGTGTGGGTTGTAGGCCATGGCCCCCAGCAACCGCACATTGATGTTTTTCTCTCACTCTCTCTTTCTCCCTTCCCTTTCTAAAAAGAAGTAAAATCTTAAATTTTTTTTAATTAAAAAATTTCAAGAAAATTAAAATAATAAATAAATAAAACATTAAACTTTCTTACTGATTGGACCTAGTCAAAGTATCTAAACAGCTATAATGAGAATACTGATAAGGTCTAATTACAATCCCTAAAAAGGGGTTTGAGGGCTTTTATATAAAACAGCCACTCATTTTTCTTTCTCTTACACTTGTGATAATTGGAGTTCTGGGTTTTTATTTTATCAACCAAATGATAAAACAAACAGGAATATGAAGTATTATGTGTTGGTAACCCCCTGCCTAGGCTAAGGGAACGCCCTTGGAACCATAAGCCAGCAAGGAGACAAAAGCTTATCTCCCTGGCAGGAGCGCTGCGTCTGCTGCTTCACTCATAACTGAACCCCAAAGCTTGGTTGGTTAGCCAATGATAGGTAAGATTCCCCAAGGGGGAAACGACCTAAGACAGGCACGATCATGTGGGAGGACCCCAAGAAAGGACTTTGGGAGCTACAGCAACAGGGGGTGATGGACCCTCGCTCCTCGGCTTTGACATAGCCTGAGTCCTCATCTTCTGGGAGAAAATCTTATCTCTTGGTTGCCTTAGTTCCCTTGCTCCACCTAAGCCTGAAACAATGACAGGGTGGTGCATCTCTGTGCTGAAAAGGGCGGGTTCCCCGGGGGATCAGGCCTAAGAAAGAATATGTAAATTACTGTGAAACCTTCTTTGTTTAGAATGCTCTCGGTTGAATGAGAAGGGTCCAAGGAGGAAGTTAGTTTGTTCCTTAAAGTTTTACAGCTTTCTGACCCTGACTCAAAATAGGCCCTCAGACTTCCTTGTTATCTATTGTTTGATCCTTACTTCCTAGCAATGAGTAATGAGCTTTTACCTGAACTCTTATGCAAACGAAACCAATAAAAACCCTCTCCAGAGGGGGAACGGGGTGCTCTCCCCACCAGGGAGGGTGGCCAAGTGGTGTGCTCCCCACGTGAGGAGTGGCCCTGCTGTTCCTATTCCCCCATAGGACCTGGTTGTCTTTGTGTATGTTTTTCTCGTGTTTCGACGAGCCATCCGCAGCATTGCGTGATCACTGCTGGCTGGTGACCCACGCATCAATTATGTGAAATGTTGCTCTTTTTGTTTGTTAACCAGTGATTACACTGGTTATTGAAGCCCTCGGCAAATTGGCTATAAGCAGGTTTCTACTTTTATTTCTATTCTTTCACTTGAAAGATACTCTCCTAGGAAACCATGTGATTCTTCAGTTTATGTTGCCCATAGAATGAAACAGTCTTTTCAAAAAATCGTATTTAAAGGAAACATCGTCTGATACAAATAGTGATTAAGTCACAGTGTATAAAAGTTCAACAAGGGGCAAGAATACTATTGCATTCCCTTGAGACTTAACTTGGTGACACAGGTGGTGTCCCTGCTCACAAATCCTACCAAGACAGCTAAGATACCAAGTCTGTGCCCAGCAGGGAGGAGTAGGAATAAACCAGAGGGTGCCAGGGGCTGATTGGAGGCAGGCAGAATCTGACACGTATCATCCTCCTCAGGTGGATAAGGGGACTGGGAGACTTGTTACTGATTATTTTGACAATCCTGTCTTGGTATAGCACAAGGAAAACTTCATGAATCTTTACAATGTGGCTCTGTAGAAAACAGCTCCATTGTCCTGTATCCAAGGGTTGAGTATTTTTTATGGTTATGTATCCTCTCTAGTGCTTAGAACCTTGTTTTTTTATAAGTATATCCTTATTACTTGATTTGTGAGCATTTTTGCACATATTTCCATTTAAATTTAAATAAAGATGCATTATCTATAAACTACACAGACTAGATCTATAGTATATAATTTTACTGGGTATATTTTATTTACAGTGTACATTATATGTAGTTATGTGTTCTGTATAGTAAAAATTTCTATAGATTCATACAATTTTAGTGTCCTGAACATGGTGGGGTTTTTTTTGGTTTCTCAGTTTTTCATGTAAAGAGCCCTGGAGTAGGGTGTCAGGGCATGTGATTCTTAACCCAGAGGGCTGTATGTGACCTTGGACAAGCCTCTATCTAAATATCTTGGTTAGTGAAATAAGGGTCTTGGTCTAGATCAGCGGTGTCACACTTTTCTGACTCCAACCTACAGTAACTTTAATTTTACACTGTGACCAGTACAAAGATGGGGGCATGTAACTGACACGAAAGTTTCATATACTGACCTTAACTACAAGTGTCGGTGTCAGATATTTTATTTTATTGGAAACACTGGTAATGGCCCACCAAGGTCATTCCACAACCCACGAATGATTCCACTCACAAACAAGTGTCTAGGGGACTTCCAGACTGTTTCTACTGCAGGATTCTTATAGCAGATACTTAGAAATGTAGTGGGTAAGGGCTTCACGGGTGCTGATGTTGCTCTAACTGCTTTGTGTAACATGTCACCTGGTCTCTTGCACCTCATAGCAGTGACCTCCACATTCATGTTGTATTTACTATGCACAGCGTGGGGACAGGGAAGGGTAGTCCATCTAGGGGCCACGTAATGTCCCATTTTCAAGAGGGTCAAGTTCTCAGCGTCGTGTCACCTGTGTAGCCTTCCTTGGACAAGCCTTTTGTGTTCCAGTGCACCTGGGGCTCAGGATACACCTCTATCCAATGACGTTCCCTGACAGCTTTTAGGGATGGGAAGAATAAAGAATGTTTGTGTGCAGGGTATAAGGAATGTGCAGTCCTCTGATCTCAATAATTTGCTTCGGTACATACGCACCTTAGAGCCCTTCTTACCCCACCCCAGTCCAGGCACTGCACTTGTTTGTTGGGTCCAATTTCCAGTCTTCCATAGGGTCTCCGCTTCATTGTCATTTAAGCTGAAGGGCCTTCCCAGGCTCCAGGTTAGGGCTTCCAGCCTAACGTTTCCAAGGCACCCTTGCAGTAACTTCTGACACCAACTACCCAGGGTTAGGCCACACTTAACAGGTTAAGGGCACAGTCCCTACAGGACAACCCTCACTTCAGACAGCTGTCACAAATTGGAGGGGGAGGGGATGCCCTGGACCACTGTTCTGAGCAGCCAGTCAATGTTAGTGAGGACTGAGGGTCCTCACTAACCCCAGGTTCAATAACCCACTGTAAGGACTCACAACTGAGGAATGTCCTGTAGCTATGATAGGTTTTATTATAGCAAAAGGATACAAATCAAAACCCGCCAAAGAGAAAGCGGCGTGGGGAGAGGCCTGGGAATGTGCAAAGGTTCCATCGTTTCCTCCCTGGGGGGTCAGCACGCCTCCCGGCCCTAGCACGTGGCACACCGATGTAACCCTGGGAGCTCCTGGGCTCCGTGCCCAGAGTTTTTATTCGGGTTTCACTGTGTACGACCCAAAGTTGAATTCAACCCCCGCCCCCCTCGACCTAGATATGACCCAGATCAAAGTCCCAACTCCACACTCGCACCGTCCGCTAGCCCCTGGGCCAGCCCTTCGGCGTAACTCCCAGCCAGGGCCGCAGAGAATATGTTACCGGAGTTTGAAGTCAGGAAAGGAAGGATTTAAGGAGATGGCGCCATGCCCGGAGTCACAGGTAGCTCCTACTCAGAGACCTGGCTTCCAGGGGCTTCCGGGGGATGAATTACACAGGGAGACATCGGTTTGCGTGGTGCCTGAGAGTGGAGTCGGGTCCCGGTCTCCACCGCCCGGGGGCTGCCAGGGCGGGGCGTGCTTGGCCACCGCATCGGCCTCTCTGGTCGGCCGTGGAGTTGTTCCGTCCAGCTTTGCAACAATTCGTTCTTTGTGCAAGTTCTGCTTTCCTGGGTCCGGAGCCCAAACAACTGAGGCCGTTTAGTTTGACCCAGCACCTGGTTTCTAAGACTTATTGGATGCTGAGGGAGCATCATTGAGTCCTGAGGTCTTAACGATTACTAGGCAGGGCCACTTTGAGTCAACGGGGGAAAAAAAAATCAAAACCAAAGGCTAGATTAAAGAAAGTAAGGTGTCTGCAGGCTTAACAAACAGTGACCTTCCTGTCACTCGGGGCGCAGCGCTTCGGCGCACCGGCCCAGCAGCGGGCAGAGGACCCAGGGCCCTGGGCTGGACTGCCGTCTGGTTTCTGCCCAAGGTTTTGTCTTTTAAAATTTAACCCACATATATAATGTTTCGTGTGGCTATAAAACTCACGTTTTCTTTTTTCCTTCAATCTTTCTTACCGGTTATATTTTTCTAGCACTGCTGCATTTTGTTTTCTTCCACTCGGGATACCATATTGTAACATTCTTTTGAAACTGAATAACTAGCTATGGTGCTTTTTGCATGATGGGTTGTGACTGGACTAGAAACAAGTCCAGTCTGGCAACACTTCAAAAGAAAGTGAGGCATTTGACGTCAGCAACCTTGCACGCCCGCCAGCTCCAGTCGTGCGTACGTGCACGACCTCTCGCACACTCCGGACGCAGACCCACACACCGCGGCAGGCGTCTCAGAGACCCCGCCCACGCCCCCTGCGCAGACGCAGAAGCGCCTCGTGCGCCTCCGCGCAGGCACTGCGGCAGGCGGCCCGGGGGCCTCCGCGCAGGCACTGCCCCGGACTGACGGGGTTGGGGGGCTTCTGCTCAGGCACTGCCGCGGACGGCCCGGGGGCCTCAGGTGACGGGGCCGGAAATGGCGCGCTCGGCCTTTCCTTTTCCTCCGCAGCGAGCGCCAGTTTGAGCGGTGCGGTCCGCTCCGCCGCGAGGGTTCGTGGCCAACGGCTTCTTCTTTGGCTCCCTCGGCTGCCGACCCCTCACTGCGGTCGAGAAAAGATGGTGGGCCGGAACAGCGCCATCGCTGCCGGCGTGTGCGGGGCCCTCTTCATCGGGTACTGCATCTACTTCGACCGCAAGAGACGGAGTGACCCCAACTTCAAGAACAGGCTGCGAGAACGTGAGTGGGCCCCCTGCCCCGAGCCTGCTGTCTCCCGCCATGGCCGCCGCTCTACCTGTGCTCCCTCCCCGCCGGGTGGGCCCGGGGCGGCGGGTCGCCGCGTGGTGTTTAGGGCCTGGGGCGAGGAGCCACCAACCGGAAAAAGGTGTCGGAGCTGTCTCGCGCCCCCAGGGCTGCTCTTTTCCCTGCGTGATCCCTCCATTTTGGTGGAACGGGAACGATTTTCCCATTTTGTTTTCCCCACTTAGGTCGTACAAACGCACTCTTGTCTGCATTAAAACTTATGGCGTGTGTTGTGGGGAGCTTGGGTTTCTTTTTTGGCGTTCACCTTGTAAAACCTATTTTTAACGAAAAAGTCTCGTTTTTTATATTTTACGAGTTTCTGGGTGAGCCCAAGTCCTCAAATACGACGCAGTATCGTCGTTGCATTCTTAAACCCTCTTGGTAGCTTCGCTCTAAGTGCTTCCAAGATATGAGTGAATGCTACAGAAATTGCAGGAGAGTCCAAAGGGCTGCGCTTCTCTTGTGGCTCAGTCTTATTTCATACCTGCGACATCTTTTAAGAGGATTTTTCAGGAGAGGGAAATCACGTCACCACAACCTTTGTGATCTTTGAGTTCTGGAGGCATACTCACTTGCAACAATAGAAGAGCAAATATGTTGGAATGAGAAATAGTTTGTAACTTATCTAGGTTGCTGAAACAGTTACTGAAGTTAAACTTGATATGTAAGTTATTGAAGCTCAGGAAGAACAAAGTGATTCGATTTCTTTAAGCTCGATGTGTTCTGTAGCCACGTGTAGCTAGTGACTTCCGCATTGGACCACGCTGACCTCATACCATCTACAGCGTGACAGCGAATTCCCAATCTCACGTTTTAGGCTGGCAGAGACAAAGAGATAATTTATCTAATTTAAGGTTAGGTAGACTAATGGAAAGAATGCTATTTTGGATTTGACACTGAGTTTCCAGGCCTCGTTTAGTCACAGGTTAGCAGCATAATCTTGGGATTTCTGAATCTTATTTTTTTAGGTTGTAAAGTCAAGTGAGGTAATGCCACTTGCTTCTCGTTGGTTTTGTGAGGAGTAAGGTGTTTGAAGTGTCCGCCACCGTTCCTGACTGAGGGGAACGTCCCTCCATTAATGCTGGCCATAGGTGTAGCTATTGGAATTTCGATCAGTTTCCCCTAGTTTCAAAAGGAGGTGCAGATGCATATGTACAGAATGGATTAACACTTTCTCCTTTGGGAATCCTGCAATCCTTACTGTTGGAAACCTTGAGGAAACTAATTTTTGGTTTAAATAAAAACTATGGTTTTAGGCAGATTAAGAAACCTGCCCTTTTCAAAATTTATTTTCCATCTTTAATTCATTAATTTACTTTCTCACTTGAGCAGTAGCCTAATGATTTAAGTGGTCAGGTTTAAATTATTAGCTGAGTAACCTTGGGCAACCTACTTCAAGGTTTAGTTTCACTTTTGTAAAATGGTATAATAAAGGTGGAGTTCGGTAGAGGCCTGTCCCGTAGTAATTGATGAATGCTGAAGATTGATTATGAATATAATTTATTTGATAAGCAATCAAAACTTTAATCCAGAGTAGTTTTGTAATCTGATTAAAGATAATTGTGTGATTGGCTGATCTTTAAGAACTTGAGGGTGTCTTGCATTTGTGTAATTAAATTCAGTGTGGTTAATTTTGAGTTTTTATAGTCTAATATCTAATAGTTGTATCTGTAGAGTTTCTCAGATGGTTCACTTTGGCTTGTTAGCTTTTTTTTTTTTAAAGGAAAAGAGGCTTTAGGTTTAAAATAAGGTTTGAAATTAGATCAAGGATTCTAATTTATTTGTATTTTTTGTGTCTCAATAGCAGTAGCAGATTATGAGGCCTGTTATGGCATAATTTTTATTAATTCAACTAGTTAATAAGTGAAAATTATTCATAATAACTTCCAAATGATTATGCTAACTACAGGTGTGTTTTTATTTATACAGTACTGTATAAAGTGATTCATCATTTTAAAATATATTAAGTAATCTTGGTTAAATGAATGCTACCAGAATGACTTAGATTTGGGACTTCTTGTTGGCTTATATTTTTTCTGTATTTTTTATTTTATTTGTAAAATATTGATTGATTGAGAGCAGGGAAGGGAGGGAGAAAAAGAGGGAGAGGAACATCACACGCCCCCAGACTCCAGCAGGGTACCTGGCCTGCAGCCCAGGCTTGTGCCCTTGTGGATCAACTGGCAACATTGTGGTTTCCAGGTGAGTGCTCAGCCCACTGAGCCACACCAGCCAGGGCTTTAATATGTACTTTTTTAAAAGTAGACAGTTTAACCCTTTAGGCTTACACAATAGCCCTTGAGACTTCCAGCCAATATTGAGTCAAGGCCTGATTTTGCTGATTGGTTTGCTAGCTTGTTACCATCTGTCCCTTTATCATAGAGATACTGTATCTGAAAATAAGTTAATGTAACAAGTTGTCTTATGAAACTAAAGCCAGAATTGTAATCTTATTGCTAGAAATTTAAAGCAGTTAACCAATCCTTAAAAGTTGATAATTGTATCCAACATTCAGCAACAACACACTCCTCTCCACCCTGTACAAGAGCAGTTATAAAAGTGGATAGTAATGGAAACTAAGTTTCTCTCTACTTTTTTTCTTTTTTTTACCATTTTTATCATTTTACATAAATTATAGCTTTGGTATTTCTCTGTTTATTCCACAAACTTGCCATGTTCCTTTCTGAGGTGCCTTTTACTTTGATGGGAACATCTTCACTTCTGCAGCATTTCGAGGCAGCTCAGAGTAATGCCAGAGTGAGTACACGTGCTGTGCAGTTCAGCTGCCTGGGTCTGAGTACCAGTGTACCGCTTAACTAGTTGTGCCCTCGGTCAGTTTTCTCATCTGTAAAATGGGGATGATAATAGCACATGTCTTCATGTTACTGTGAGGATTAAATAAGCTAATTATATCATTTAGAATAGTGTCCTGGCATTATAGTATTTAAAGCTTACCTTAACATCAGCCGTTCCTTGCCTTCACGTCAGTTTCCTCTGTGAAGCCTTCCTTCCATCCTTCTTCTGGTTTTGGCGCTCTCCTTGAAGCACTAGTCTGTGCTGTGATTCTTAGGAATAAGTTAACATAGTCTGGTGTCATTCACTATTTCCTGCCTAAAGAGGGCCAAACAAAACTTGAAGCAAGTTGAGGGTAGAAAATACTACGTGTTCTTTTCCCCACAGTTAGTTGCCCAGTGATGAACAGCTAGGAAAGGTGGTTGTTAGGAAAAATGGGCAGTCTTCAAATGAATATGTAAGATCAACTTTAACTGGTATTTTGCTGTTGAAACTGCTAAAATTGCATTAAACCATTTAATAGTTGCACTTCGTTTTATGGGGGTGAGGGTTGGCAAGAGATACAGGTGTGGTTAAAGCCAGTTTGAAAGGTTAGCTAAGAAAAGAAGGCTCCCTGACCACAGTAAATTATGAGGCAACAGGTCACACTGCCTCTTCATTCACGACTGGGATTCGGATTTGTGGAGCTCGTTTGTTTGCTTGCTTGCTTGCTTTATTATGGCTTTGTTCTCACAGTAGTAAAGTTAAGGGAGCTTTGTCTTTGGAAAACAGGGATTTATGTGCTTGAGGTCATCCAAGTAATAAGTGTTAGAGCCTTACTTTCTTAGGAATGCCACATGGCTAGTCTCCGTGTCACTGGCAGATTTTAGCTCAGGAATTAGTATTGAACTAGATCAATAACAAATGCTTATATCGCTTGTTATGAACCAGGCACTGTTAAAAAGTACTTTACCCACGGTAACTCATTGTATCCTCACAGCACTAGCGTGGATACTGTTCTTAGACCAGTTTTGCATAGGAGAGAAAGTGGGACCAGGTCACTGTAGCTTGTCCAGGCGGCACTGCTAGTAAGGGGAAGAGCTGGCATGTAAACAAAGCCTGTGCCTCCTCTGTGCCAGCACCTTCACGTGGGGTGTGCGAGTAACCAGCAGTTTAAACGCTGTTCGAGTCCTATTTGGTTTTAAGGGTTGACTAGGTGACAATTAAGATTTTAAACATCTTGTACTCCTGAGGTGTAATATTGCTGTTCCATAGCAAACACAAGACAAAAAAAAAAAAAGCATCTTAGAGACTGTAGGCAGAGGTTTGTTTTCCTCATTTAGCCAGCAATAGTTGAATTAGAAATTTAGCATTTTTGTCAAATGTGTAAACTCTTCTTTTTTTTCCTCCCCTCCCTCTCATCCGTCCCTCCCTCCCTCCTTCCTTCCCTCCTTTTCTTTCTCTTTAGAGAGGGGGAGGGAGGGAGGAATACAGGGATAGAGGCACTGATATGTGAGAGACACATCCATCAATTACTTCTCACATGCCCCAAGCTGGGCACCCAGGCATGTGTCCTGGCCGGGAATTGAACCAGGTGGGCACTCAGTCTACTGAGCCACACCAGCCAGGGCTTTTTTTTTTTTTTTAAGAAAACTTTCTTGCCCTGGCTGGGTAGATTGCTTCATTAAACCATTGTCCCAATATGTCCAGGTTGTTGGTTTGATCCCTCATCAGGAGACGTACAGGAATCAACCAATAAATGTATAAATAAGTGGAACAACAAGTTAATGTTTCTCTTTCCTTTCCCCTCTCTCTCTCTCAAAAAATCGATAAATAAAAAAATTAAAGAAACTTTTTCAAATGCTGAGTCCCCCCGCCCCCATTTAAGAATGCCAGTCAGTGTTCAACATTCAACAAATAGAATCTGTTACATTTCAGTAATGAAACTCCCTAACAGTGGTGGCTTAATTCTTGCTGATGTTTCATGGCCTTGGTAGGTTGCAGAGGAAGGCTTGCTCTTCTTGTAATTTACTCAAGAGACCCAGCTGTTAGAGCTGCCTCCATCCTGTAAATGACTGATCCGAAAGCCCCTGGTCAGAAATGTGACATTGCCCAGAGCTCCTTGACCAGTGGACAAGGAGTGACCTGACCAGCAGGTTGCAAAGAGACCTGAGAGCCCAAGAGTCAGTAATGCTTTGGAAATCCGAGAATGAATGGCTGCCACAGCATTTAGACTTATTTTGATTCTCCTTTTACCGATGACAAAATGAACATACTTCATTTCTTACAGGAAGAAAGAAACAAAAGCTTGCCAAAGAGAGAGCTGGACTTTCCAAGGTAATCACTTAATCTGTCTTTTGTTTAAATTGTACAGGGGCAGGCAGACGTAGGTTTCCAGTTGTGAATAGGAGAAACAGTTTATTCTTGTGTCGTTATTATTGTATTTTCCATATGAACAACTGTAAACCTACTTTGCCCACCTTTGTATTATATACTTCATAGAAATAATTACTTAAAACTACTTCAGGTATATATTTTGAGAAAGCTAGCTTGATGATCTATTTTAAACTATAACTTGCTGTTTTTAGGAATAGTTAAGTGAGTTCAATTGTAGATTATCCATCCAGTCCTTCCTTTCCCCCGCCCCCCCTTTTTTGGCAATAATAGCAGACACCTTGCCGTCTGAGCAGTATTTAAGGGGCACTAAGGTGGTAGTCTCTAGAAGACATTTAAACCAGTGGGCTCAGACATCACTCAGCTGCTTCAAAATAAGAAAGTAAAACATTTATTAATTTTTTTTCTTTAGAAGAACCACTTGCAATTCATTTCAAAAGTTATATAAGATTATAAGCACCTACTGATCCAGAATCTCATCACTTGACATTTTTTTCACCTAGATGTAATATGTAAATGTAGATATAAGTCTTTTTATTCATTTTTTTCTTTTCATAGATCCTGTGTTCATGATTATTTTAAATGACCACATAGGTTTATCTGCTTGATAAAAAAATGTCTGTGACATGTGTAAGTAAATTAAGTAAGTAAATGTTAATCACTGTGAACATAGCTTTTCTATTTTATTGACATTAGTTCCATTGTCTGGATTCCCAGGACTTGGACTACTGGATCAGGAGTGGTTCTTTTTGAAGCCAGTTGAGGCAAGAAAAATTTTAATGGATAAATGTTACATTTTGTTATTTTGAAACATTTGTAATCACTGCAGCAAACTGCCTGGGCATGATCATAGCAAAGTTGGTAACTGGGAGACAACCACGTACTTGTTCTGTTCTGTCTACACTACCTTTCTGAGATGTGTCCATCACGTTTTTAGTAGTCAATTCAAGGGTATAGGAAATAGGTATATTAAAGACATGTATCAGTATGTATTTTTAGATTCAGGTATGATCAAATTCTTGCTGTAGGTTGGGGTAGTCGATGAAAGATGCCTTCACTTTCAGAAATTACAATCTTTTTCACCCATGTTGGATAATGGGAGTGACATGTATAATATAATTGAAGAACCAAAACCTTACAGTAGTAGTAGAACTCTAGGGTTTTAAGGAACTTTTTAATAGTAAGTTTACATTTTTAAAAAGACATGCTAAATAGCTGGTGGTATTATATATTATCATAATCATTTGGTCTGGTGATATGTAACAAACTGTAAAACAAAAGCACAGAAATGCAGACTTATTTAAATAAAGCTGCTTACAACTGGAATAGCAAAAAAAAAAAAAAAAAAAACTTCAAATGCCCAGCAATGATTATGCAACTGTATATTCCTTAGTGGTACATTCTATTACCATTTAAAAATAATCTTTCAGAGCATGTAAAAATCTGTACAAAATAATGTTGGAATAGAAGAATATATTGATTACAGTTACATAAAAATCTATGATAATGATGGTCAAAAAATGGTAATGTGTGTATTTTATGGTAGAGGTATTTGTATTCCTTTTTTACTTCAGGTTTGACTCACAGCTTTCTAAGAACTGTTCAATACCAGGTTGATGAATAAAATTTTTTTTTCGTATGTTTATTTCAATACAGATACTAAACTAATCCTTACGAATTTTGTTGAAGAGTAAATTTCAATTTTTGGTTTTATTTTTAGTGGTATGATTGTCTGTGTATTGGTTATGTCCCCTGACATAATTTTGTTATCAATTATTACCATTCTGCTTCTAGTTACCTGACCTTAAAGATGCTGAAGCTGTTCAGAAATTCTTCCTTGAAGAGATTCAGCTTGGTGAAGAGTTACTAGCCCAAGGTAATAGTCGTGTAAAAAACCAAAATTCAACCACGAAAATTTGAAATCTACGTGGCTTTAGTAAGCAGTTTGTGAATAGGGCAGCACCCCGTCTAGCAACTAGAAGGATGCTCTTTCCAAGGGGCTGTACAAAAGGGAAGGTTTTTATAGGAAGCAGGGTGGGACATGGGAGCTGCTGGTAAAAGAAAAAGGGTTGTGTTGGGGACATCTTTTCTTGCGGGGGGAGAGAGGAAGGGTTCTTACCATGCAGATTGCTTTTTTTCTGTGGGGTTGGGGGAGGGCCTAGATGACAGAGTACTTTATTGGTTTTTGACCAGAAAATTGCAGACTGGTTCATTAAGATTATGTTTTGGGGAGAGGTTGGAAATGCAGTTAGGTCAGACATGAAATCTAGGTTTGGTATCAGGGTTTTTTTTAAGACAAATGACACTGTAGGGCTGATGTAATTTTCTTCAATAGTTACTAAAAGGCTAGAAAACTAGGTAGAACTCTTCTCTCTGATGTAAGTTTTTGGTGATAAGGGGCTTTTTCGGTGTACTGTTGTCACCACACCTGGTGGTTCTGTTGCCCATTGCACACAGAGGAGACACTGCTCTGAGGCAGCAGGTCCTCCACAGAGGATAAGGTTGACCCGGCAGGCAGCCGGGCAGGACCGGAGATAAGGTTCCGGTTTGTCTCCCCAAGTGAGGACTTGGAGGGAGTTCAGAGGGGCAGAAGGAGACACTGCACGTACTGTGTATTCTGACTTGGGAGTCTTGGGTGGACAGTCTAGGAATGAAGCCATCTAGGGAGGAATGGGGAAGGTGAGAGGAAACAGAAAGGAATTTCGGGTGGGCTGGGTCGTTGGCTGAGGTCCGGGTGTGGCAGCCTTGCTCCTGGGTCCTGACCGCAGGGCGGGTCTGTGCACAAAGGCCCCACCACAGGCGGGTTTGGGTTCTGGCTGCCATGGGGCCAGCTGGACCTGTTTGTTGGCTCTCGGGCCTGGGTGAGCCCCCGGGACCCGTCTGACCCGGCCTGGTCTGGGGTCTCTGGGGCACTGTGGAGAAGGCCTGCTGTTACCTCCCAGAAGACACTGAAAACTAGGGGAAAACTACCAGGTTCTGGCCTCGGTGTTAGGGCCCTGTTTCAGTACAGCTGTTCCTTAAACAGTTATTCTAACTTCTGTCTAAATACAGTCTTGTGCCCTGGCAGGTATGTCTCAGTGGGTTGGGCGCTGGCCTGTGAACCCAAGGGTCACCAATTTGATCCCTGATCAGGGCACATGCCTGGGTTGTGGGCCATGTCCCCAGTTGGGGACGTGTAGGAGGCAACTAATCCATGTTTTTCTCCTCTTTGTTCCTTTCTTCCCCTCCCTCTAAAAATAAATAAATAAAACCTTTTAAAGTAAATACAGTCTTGCGTTGTCATGTAATGACATTTTGGTCAAGGGTGGACTACATATGCAATGCTGAACCCTTAAGATTATAGTGGAGCTGAAAACTTCTTGTTGCCTAGGAACATTGTAGATGTTGCTAGGCAACAGGATGTTCAGTCTCACGTTACTTATGTGTTTGTTGTCATGCCTGGTCTAAGCTGTAGGGAACAGGATTTGTCACCCCAAATCGTCTCTTCAGCGTAAGGGTTATTTTAGGCTGGGTAATTTTAAGAAACACTGACATGGGAGCAGCTCTGAAAACGAAGGAGAAGGTGCCCTGTGTGAAAAGCATCTACATGTGTAAGGGAAATCTCCCTTTGTCGGGGTCTCCCTCTCCTTGTACTGGGAAGAGGGGGGTGACCTTATCTCTAGAAACTTATCGGTGCAGAAGACAGTGACTTCAGTCTAGAATAGTCTTACCTTGTTTACTGTGCTTTTCCCAGTCACCTCCTATAACCGACTTCTCCCCGCCTCCATCCTCTTCTGTCTTCTGCTGGAGAGGGTGTTTAAGGGGGTGGCTTCAGCCACCTTAGTGAGGTTTTCCGTTTTGTTGGGTCTCTCAGGAATACAGATAAACAGCTTTTGTTTTTCTCCTGCACAAAACCTGCTGCCCTGCCAGTTGTATAAAGTTACAATACTTCTCTATGTTTAGATATGCCAGTACTTAGCACTGTGTTACAGTTGCCTACAGTGTTCCATACAGTAACCTGCCATACAGGCTCATAGCATGGGGGGTGTGTAGTAAGCTCTGCCGTCTGGGTGTGTGTGAGTAAGTGCATGCTGGTGTTCGCACACTGATGAAATTGTGTGACGACGTATTTCTCAGAACGCAGCCCCATCGTCAAGGCAGTGTGTGACTGTGCTTCAAGACACGCTGTTAGGCATTTAGTAATGTGAGGGTTGTGTTATTTAAGACTGGCTCTAGAGATTAATGTTTCTTGTGTCGATACATTTTGAGTGAGTTTTATGTTCACTTGATACAGAGAAGGTAATGAATAATCTTTACAATGGGGACATTTTAAGTAGTTTAGAGAATATAGTCATTGCACAATACTTAAAAAAGTTTCTGTTGTGAAATTGAAATGATCAAATTGAAAAATGTGAGAACTAATTCATTCAGTAATTTAGTCTTAAAGTATTTACAGATATTTTTAGTGTTAAATTAGCTCTTCTCTCAAGTAGCTTTAAAGTAGTTGCTGTCATTAATTTAAAATGTATTAAGTTTTGCCCTGGCCAGTGTGGCTTAGTTGGTTGGGCGTTGTCCCATAAACTGCAAAATCATGGGCTTGGTCCCCAGTCCGGATATGTACAGGTGGCATCTCACAGATCTCTCTCTCACATCAATGTTCGCTCCCTCTCTTTCTCTTTCCCTTCTCTCTCAGCATGTCCTGGGGCAAGGTTTGGTTTTTTTGTTTGTTTGTTTTGTTTTGTTTTTTGTTTGTTTGTTTTTAAAGCTTCAAGTTTTTCTTACTCTCATCACTGTATTGTAAGAGATAAAGACAGTATTGCACTGTATGCTTTTGGTTTTTTGTTTCCTTTATGAGAACAGATTAAAAGTTTAAGATGGTGACAAACCATCTTTACCTTTTGTTGTATCTTTCCCAAGAAATAACTTTTTGCCCTGGCTGACGTGGCTCAGTGGATTGAGTGCCGGCCTGCGAACCAAAAGGGTACTGGTTCAGTGCCCACTCAGGGCACATGCCTGGGTTTGCTTGTGGGCGAGGTCCCCAATTGGGGGTGTGCAAGACAAACCAGTCGATGTTTCTTTCTCCCTCCTTCCCCTCTTTTTAAAATTAAATAAATCTTTTAAAAATTAAAAATAACTGGGGTTTTTTGAGGAAGTGATTATCTTTGGATTGTGAAGTAGGCGATAATACTTAAGTAAAAAATGGGAAAATGACTTAACAGAAAATCATTATGTGACTTTTTCCCCCAATACAAATAAGAAAAATGTGAGGTTTAATCATAGAGCACTGAAATCATCACAAGGATTATTTGAGAGGATATAATTATGTTACTTTAAAAAAAGACTTTATTAATTTTAGAGAGAGGGGAAGGGAGGGAGAAAAGAGAGGCTGAGAAACCTCAATCAGTTTCTTTTTGCTTACACCCCAACTGGGGACTGAACCCACAACTCAGGCAGGTGCCCTGACCCAAGAGCAAACTGGCAACTTTCCCTCTTTGCAGGATGATGCCCAACCAACTGAGCCACATCAGTCAGGGTAATTATATTACTTTAATATCTGAAAAGAAGATTTTGCATGTGTAGTGATTCATATCTGTTTTTAAGGATTATAATGCTTCAGTTTATGCAAAACATTCTCAAGTAAATGATGTTCCTCATGATAAAGATGTCTATACTACCAAAATTTTCTTCTAACTCCCCCAAAATACAAACATTTTAAATTAATTTACTAATAAAGATAGTAGAATATAGTGTACTCCTTATTACTTACGTTTCGATTATCTTAGAGATTCGTGCACTGTGGCCCTTTGTCTGTCTGATTTGAGCTGTTAGATCCAGATTGAGGACAGTTACCCTTGGCGATGGGGCAGGTTAAGGAGGGTCAGGGAACAGTTGATCTTTTGTCCAAGTTCAGTCCTACCCTTCAGCCCAGCACACCCACAGAATTACTTAGCTGCCAAGCTTGCTTTCTTTTGGTGGAAACTACCAAGCCAGCCAGAAGTAGAAGACTCAGATGGTGAGGATCAGAGTACAGGTCAGTATCAGAGTAAGCCAGGTGGGGAAGCATAAGCAATGTGGGCAGTGAACTTCATTGCTCGACAGGTTCTCCTTCATCCAGGCATCTTCCCCAAGTGTGTTCCTTTAACTGAGTAAGATCTTATCTCAGGCTGTGTGACTGGGGGCAAGCTGCACGTTCAGACAGGAAACGGCTTCACGTGCACTGAGTGCCTGCGGTTGCTCACACACTGTTCGCAGTGGATTTGGAGATCTGGGAGGCGTCTCAGTGATCCCCTGTGTTCCACGCATACCACTGCAGTAGCTGTTTCCGCTTAATACCTGTGTCTAAAGATACAGGTTGTGATGCATCGATTCACGCACACATTTTCAAGTACATTTTGTCCTTCGTGCTCATAAAGATATCTAACTTACTACCAAAACTTCTACTGTCCCTGGGCAACCATGTAATTCCCCTTGGTGCCTGTAAGTCAATGGCTGAAGTGAGTATTCTGTGGCCAAGCGGCACCTTGATTATCAAGTCAGTGGAGCCATTACTGAGTCTCTTGATGGAAGTGCAAGCCCATGCAGAAGACCCAAGTCTTGTATTTTAGATTTTCTGTTTTATTTTTAATGCTTCTTTGCTGAGTTCTGCTTTTTAAACAATTTTTAAAGGTTTTATTTATTTATTTTTACAGATACAGGAAGAGAGGGGGACAGAGAGAGACACTGATGTGCAAGAGAAACATTGATTGGTTGCCTCTCGCATGCCCCTAACTGGGGGACCTGGCTTACAACCCAGGCACGTGCCCTGACTGGGAATTGAACCAGCATCCCTTTGGTTCACAGGCTGGCACTCAATCCACTGAGCTACAACAGCCAGGGGGTTTTGTTTGCTTGCTTGTTTTAAAGAAAATATAATTTCTTTTTAATTTTATTGTGAACCTTGAACTGCTCTAAAAAAATTGTAATAAAAAAGATTTCAAATAGAGGATTTTTAATAATGTACATTAAAAGGACTTCCTGCGTTGAAAAGTCCTGTATAGAATATTTAATTTTAAACTGTATTTAATAGTGTAAAATTCATTTGCTCTGAGAATTTGGGGCAGTCTTTGGAGTGTGATTTCAAATGGAATTAACTGAGAACAGGGGCCACCTCTCAAGTACTTACTCAGTTAGGGAAACCTTCAAAAACTATATACCTGATGTAATTTTTTTTCTTTCAAAAGTACTACAACTATTGCAGGAATTTTTTTTAAGATTTTATTCATTTATTTTTTAGAGAGGGAAGGGAGGGAGAGAGAGAGAGAAACATCAATGTGCAGTTGCTGGGAGCCATGGCCTGCGACACTTTGGTTCACAGCCCGCGCTCAATCCCCTGAGCCACGCCAGCCAGGGCTATTGCAGGAAATTTGTAGGTAAATAAAAAGACTAAATTCTACTACTCAGAGATAATCACCGTTTTTTTACCTGCTTCTTCCTGCCACTTCTATTAGTATGACCATTTTGCTTATAGCATCACTTAACAACACATATTTTTTAACTTACATGTGGTAATACAGTACCAGGGATTAGTTTAAGATGAAATTGGCTCTCTGTCTGCCTCAGTCCCCAACTTCCTGTTCTCCCTTCTCATAGAAGGGTGTTCCATTGTTAGCAATTTCTTATGTGATCTTTCAGAAATATTCTGACTTATAAATAATAATATACGTGGATGTTTCTGCACCTTAATTTTCCCCCTTTTGTATGTGTATTGGAGATACCTCATACCAGCGCATACAGTCTGGCCCATCCTTGTTAATGGCTTCATAATATCAGTTACATGAACGTACTATAGATTATTTCCAAGTTCTTACTTGCATGGTGTTTTTGGTCTGTATCAATTAGAGGTGCAGTGAAGACTAGAGTTGAATTCCTGACAAAGACAGAGGCTTTTCAGGTTATGTGTGTTTTCCTGTCCACCTTCCAGGTGAATACGAAAAGGGCGTGGACCACCTGACCAATGCGATCGCCGTGTGTGGACAGCCGCAGCAATTGCTGCAGGTGCTGCAGCAGACACTCCCCCCGCCGGTGTTCCAGATGCTTCTGACTAAGCTTCCCACGATCAGTCAGGTGAGGATTTAAACATCATGTGATAAAAGTAGAACCTGAGAATTCAATGTTTTAGAGACATTAGCATTTAAAAATGAACCTAGTGAAATGGTGGAATCATGAAACTCATCCATATAATGAAAATAGTACTCGAGACAATGGTGCTTGGAATTTTTTTTCCGAGTGGAAAAACATCCAGATGACTGGGAGTAAGATCTAGTGATCGTGTCCGAGAGATGGATCCGGAAGTGTGTCTCTGAGAGTGACGGCAGACCATAGTATTCCAATCCCAGAATTCAGGCCATTCTCAACTACTTCCTGACACTGGCTTTCTGCCCTCTCTCACGTGTGGCCCTGCGTGCAGGTCTGAGGCGTGACGGAGGAGCCGGGATGGCATAGCCTGGTGAGTAGGTCGTAAAGGACCCTGGACCACTCTGACCTTGCTTGTCGGAAGGCCCCAGCGCCTCACGTCTGCCATGGTGGGGCTTGGGTTCAGCATTGTTTCACTACATCCCCAAATCCCTACTGAATAGGGCAAAAGGTTACACCATTTTGTACACAACCCATAACTTAAGAGTTGAGTAAAGCTCCTGCTGTTTGTTTTTAATCCTTTCCAAGGAGCCCAAGTGAATCTACTTGTTGGAAGGGCATATCGGTTACATGTTTTAATTTCTACATTTGGTATGATTAAAAATTCACTAAAATGACGGCGTAATTCTTCAAGATGATCTTTACTCTACTAAATTGGAAAGGGATGAAAGAAAAGACAGATCCCAGAGATTTATTAGGGGAGAGGGTTGAAAAACCAAGGAGCTGGTCTTAATCTTTTTTATTTTGACTGATGTGGTTCCCCGCCTGTATCAGAATCGTTTAGTTAACATTATTTGCACTTTGAAAAGCAGCCTGGTATGTAGAGCTTTGGGGAAATTAACCTGAGGGGGATGTGATGTCTTGAAATATGGATGAATTCAGGATGAAGCCTTAATTCTTTTCTATAAAGATGACCTTTTTCACTCAGCTAACTTGTCTCGTGTTATCTAGAAATGTTGTTTTCAAGGTACTAATTGGAGAATACCGCATTCTTTCTTCATATACGGATTTGGAGCATTTCCAGGTCAAAAAGGGAAATATTTGGAGCATAGAATGCTCAGCATTCTTAGCACTCATCAGTATTTTTAGTTTACGTAGGAATAAAGAGATTTTGAATTCATTTTCATTTCAGTTATGTAATTGTCTAACATGTAGCACAGTAAAATGGTATGCCTCCTTTACTCGTTTGAATTTTGAAATGAGACTGACAGTAGTTACGATCATTTTCTTAGATGATAATGTATAAAGTGTTTAATGTTGAAATCTCAGAGTGGGTAAACTTTAGGTAGATCTATTTCTTGGAATACAAAGGGCATTTCCTTTTTAATTTATTTTTATTTAAACAAGGCATTTTTGTTGAACCTGATTATATATATCCTTATACTTTGTAAGAGTTAAACATATTTTTCTTCTTCCAGAGAATTGTAAGTGCTCAGAGCTTGGCTGAAGATGATGTGGAATGAGAAACAAATGTCAACGCAATAATCTCCATTAAAAATGTTTTTAAAATCTTAACTCGGAAGATGAGCAGCTCTGGGGGAATAAGGGCAACTAGGCTTGGTATGGACCGTCCTACACTAAATCTACCAAAGTCAACTTCTACTTTGTGTAGATCCATTCGTCTTTTATTTATTTTTCCCAGTGAAGAGTGTATTTTGATAGAGAGCTTTTCGTTTTATAAATACACTATCAGTTACTGAAATATCATGGATTTTGTTTATTCCTAAAATGTGTAATTAAAATGTACATATAACATCATATTACGTACATCAGAAATATCCAGTGCTCAGTTTTGAAAGGCATTGAAAGCAGGTGGAAGCTGAAGAATGGACTTTTTTTAAGCTAGTACATTTTGCTGCACATCAGAAAATTGGGTGGAAACATGATTGTGTTTATCAAAACTGGGTATTCAAGTCTTTGAGACCACGTCTTTGCGTTTAATCCCGCAAACGTGTAAGATGTGCTGTTGTGCGGAGCTAACGGCCTCACCCACCCTGCGCGGCAGTCTGGAAACGTTTTGTTGGAGGCGGTGGCTTACTGTGCTCTGGATATTATCTCCTGGTGTTGTAGGTGCATGTAGTTGCAAATAGCACTGGGAACTAGATCTCTGTGTGCCCCGGTGTAGCTGTCCAGCTTCTCCAGTCACTGTTGCCTGCCCACTTGCCTCACTCACGAGATGAGGGGGTTGGCGTGCGGACCCAGAGAAGCATCCCTTGCAGCTCTTCATTTGGTCATGCTTCAGCACTATGAAATCCACCCTTCTGAGGGGCAATCAGGCCTTGCATTTTTTTATTCTCTAAATTTTGCATGCTTGCCTGGCTTAGTATTTCTGAAAGTATTTTTTTAAGGTATTATAACATTGTTTTTCACTGGAATCATGTGGTTCTGTCACTGCTCTTGTAAATTAATCTGAAATTGAACCTTTAACTGAGATGATATGCTTGTAAAAACCTATTTCTTTGCTTTTATCCTATGTACCTCCTTAATCCTTTAATCTGATCCATTTATCTTGTTGTGACGAGAATAAGGTATAGCCTGTGGCTGGAGACGTGCAAAGACGGGAGGTGATGGGACCTCTTATTCACAAAATAGTGACATTATCTGCAGTCACAGATTCGGTATCAGACCTGAGCATAAGGGTGTTGGGCACTAAATGATCTGCTGAACTGAACAGCATCTCTGCTTCTGTTCTGTCTAAAAATCTCTGGAGCGATCCCAAAGTCTCTTCCTACGTGTACTAGGCTTTTTATTTTGTTTTACTTACAAACTCCTTGAACCTCGGGTTTTGCGGTGGCTGTGGTACAGAGGAAAGAGTTTGGGATACGACCCTGGACAAGTCGTGTGGCATCTCTGAACTTCTGGTATCCCCTGTACAAAATGAGGACCAGGTGACTCACACATTTAACGACTTCCCCAGGTTCCTTCCAGGCTTGTGATCCTGAACCTTAAAACAGTACTTTTTTTACTACACCTAGCACACGCTTTTGGGGGTGACCAGTAGAAACATGCTAGTTAGTTTTACTAATAGGATCCCCAATCCAAAGCAGAGGGTAGTGGTCATTGGTCAGTGAGTGGAAACAGTCTTGTAGCTTGCACCCGCCCAAACAAAGTGTAGAGAACAGAGGCCACCAGAAGGTAGAGAGGAAGGAACATAGGGCCAGAGGGAATGTGGGGTGGGGGGAGAGATCAAGAGAACAGGCCTGGAAACCCTGGGGACTGGCAGGGGCCTGGGGGCGGGGGGAGGGTTAACTTGGACCCGGAGGGTGTGAAGAGTGGGCCTGGGCCCTGGAGCCTGGGGTGCGTCCTAGCAGGACGTCACTGTCACTTCACTCGGCTTGCAGCTGAAGACTGGCTCTGATGAAGGCGTGCTGCGGGGGCAGTGGCCTCTGCACTTCAGAGCTGACTCAGCCAAGTGCACTTTCTTATTTAAATAAGTGAGAGCTTTGGTGCTTTAAAAATAGGTACCACTCTTGAAAGCCAGCTGTGTTAGGTTAAAAAGAAAATTTGCCCCCAGCACATAATTGCTGAACAGTCTCCTGGGACCAGGCAGTCACGCTGGTGCTGGCCACATGGTGCGCAGCTCCCGATGGGAGCGGAGTGGTGGCCGCCGGCCTGTTCCCCTGTGCTCGTGTTGCACACGTAAAATCTTCGGACGTGGGAATAATAAGTGCACATTGGCATGCCTTTGGGGGAGGAGGTCTGTTTGGTTCCACGATCTGTACTTCAAGGGAAAGCATTCGAACAGGCTCACCTGGTGGTAGCAGTGCTGCTCTATTAACAGATTCCCAGGACTTGCGTCCACACCTAACATGTAAAACCTCGTACAGTGTGCGTAGTAGGCTAGCAGGCTTTTGACCTGCTGCTTTCTGACCCTGTCAAATCAATGTGGCCCAGAGTGTGCAAATGAAATGTTATTGCAGAAGAGATTATGAGATAATTGGTATATCATGCAGATATCGTACAAAATTTTCTTTCTAGTAACATAAATGCAGTTTATCATTGCTTGTGCCTCAACTGTTTAAGTGACTATTAAAGGGCTTGGAGAACATTTTGGCTTGGTGTTTATTTGCAGAAGTGAATTCGGCTGAACCGGGTGACTCCCGGGTTGTGGCACCCAAGTGTTTTTAGGTTTCAGCATCCCTCTGAGGGTGCTGGCAGCTGCACAGCTTCTCCCCAGGAATGTGCACATTTGCCTTTGATTTCAGGGGGTTCACAGATTCAGGCTAGGTGGCCCCTGCCTGGATGTCAGGCAGGCGAGGACTCTGCAGCCGTGGCTGTCCAGCTGCAGCAGGTGTCAGAACCACCTGGAAGGCTGTGACAGCAGACTGCCGGGTGCTGGGCTGGGCCAGGAGCGGCAGGGCCATTGGGCCCTTACGTCGGGTTCCCAGGGCCCGATGCTGCTGCTGGTCGGGGGTCCTGCCATGAATGAGACACAGACAGGGACGCTCAGCGGTGATGTGGAAGACGTGACAGGACGTCCCTGTCACTGTCACGGCCGGCTGTGGTCAGACGATGCCCTCCAGCCCTCTGTGACAGCAACAGTGAATGTGATTGAAACGCCAGCACTCGAGTAAGCGTGATCTGGAGCACGAAGACCGTCATCCTCAGGTGTTGCATTTAAGACAGGCCAGCCCATTACAGGGTGCTCGAGGGGAGTTTCTCCAAACTGGATGTGATGTTGCTGGCTCAGAAATTACTCTCCATAAGCATTTTAGTAGGGAGTCTTTAAATTTCTATTCCAGTTTTGTGTTTTGGGGCAAATCAAATAGATTTTTCCCCTTTTGGGTACAAGGTTTCTAGGACAATGTGTGTGTGTGTGTGTGTGTGTGTGTGTGTGTGTGTGTGTGTATTTGCCTTTAAAGGCCATAGCAGTGTTCTGGAAACAGCCCAGGAGGCATTGTGGGGGCACTAAACACTTTAATTCCAAACACTAATTCCCACTGGTAGTGACCAATTACTTTGATGTCAAGCTAACAGGCTAGGAGTTGGGCTGGACAGAGGGGAATGGGGAGGAGGCTGTGGTTACACCGGAGCTTGAACTGGTACCTGGTGTTGAGCGGTGTCCCCGTGTCAAGTGCCGGCACATGGGCACGTTTGGGGAGAAGTGGATCCCGCTGGAACTGGGCTGAGATCGGGGTCCGTGCGGCCCTGCCTGCTCGCTGCATACAGAAGGGGAGGACGGAACTGAGCTGCCTGGGCTTGCTCCCTGGCGGTGGGCGTCTCGGAAGGTCTAAAACCAGAACTTTTCTCAGTTCACTCAGAGCAACACAGAAGAGCAGTCCCCAGAGGGGTTGCTCGCCCTGCTCAGCATTCGAGGAGGACAACTTTGTGTTCCTAGCAGAGGCTGGTTTCCTCTTTAAAACCAGTTTGCCTTTCAACATCCCGTTCCTACAGAGCACGCAGTGGCTTCCAGAAGTGTCCGCTGCAGTTCCACTGTTCAGCAGGGCTCCGGTAGCAAGTGCAGAAACCCCGTGTGGGGAAGAGGAGTCCGGCTGTGGGCACAGGCGGCTCCAGCCCACGCAGACGAGGTCAGGGACGTTGCGGAGCTCCAGGAAGTGCCGGCCCAGCCTGAGAAACCTGCCCGGTGTCCTGCAGTGAACGGAAGACTCGTGGTCACCCCCAGCCCCACGCAGCTTTACACATACAGCTTACATGTGTTTAAGATGTACAAGGGGTGTTTTGATGGACTGCATTGTGAAATGATCACCACCTTCAACCTCCTTAACATCTGTCACCTTGTCGCCTTGGTGTGCGTGGTGAGACTATGTAAGACCTACAGATTTCAAGTGTGTGGTGCGTACTCACTGTCGTCGCACACTCTACACTAGATCTCTTCCCACCTGGGAGTCTACCCTTCGACCACCGGCTCCTCATTTCCTCCAGCCCCCACCCCAGCTCTTGGTAACCACCCCACTTCCAATCTGTTTCTGTGAACTTCAGTTTTTTTTGGATTCAACACGTGAGATGCAGCGTTTGCCTTTCTGTGTCCGGCTCATTTCACTTAGCGTGTCCTGCAGGCACATTGGTGTTGGATGTGGAGGAATTTCCGTTTAAGGCTGACTGCCACTGTATGTGTGAGTCACATGTCACGTGTGTGTCCATCCACAGATATAGACTCTGTCCCCTGTCTCGGCTGCTGTACACAGTGCAGGCACCTCTGAGATGGGGGTTCCACTTCCTCCAGACGTACACCCAGAAGTGGGATCGCTGGGTCATGAGGCAGTTCTGGGTCCAGCTTGTGGACGACCCTCCATGCTGCTTCCCACACTGGCGGCACCAGGCTGCATTAGCACCTCCAGTGCCCGAGGGCTCCCTTCTCCCCGCACCCTCACCCACTTCTGACTCCGAGATCCCAGCCCTTCCGGCAGGTGTGAGGTGGTTTTGTGGTTTTGATTTGATTTGGTTGTGGTTTTGATTTCCTCTCCCTGATGATTGGTGATGCCGAGCTCCTTTTCATACACATGTTGGCCATGTGTCTGTCTCCGGAAAAACACATTCAGGTCGTTGGCCCATCGTAAAACTGGGTGGGGTTTCTGTTTGGCTGTCCAGTTGTATGAGCGTCTTACATTTTTTTGGATATTAACCGCTTATCAGATACGTGTTTTGCAGCTGTTTTCTCCTATTCTGTAGGTTGTTTCTTCTTCATGTTGCTGATGGTTTCCTTTGCTGTGCAGAAGGTTTTAGTTTGACTGAGTCCCAGCTTATTCTTGCCATTGGTGTCAAATACAAAAAATCATCGCTGAGGCATGTCAGAAAGTGTTGAACTCTTGAATCCATTTCGAGTTGATTTTCATGTATGGTGCAAGTAAGGTCCCATTTCTTGTGTTTGTGTTGGGAGCCAGTTTTCCCAGCACCGTTGATTGGAGAGCTGGCCCTTCCCCATTGTATATTCTTGGCTTTTTCGTCTAGGATGAGCTGGCTGTAAGATTCAAGGTTTATTTCAATCAGGGAGGGTAACCTGCACTGTGTGTAACAGAGGAGGACTGTTTCTGTTTATTTGTAAGAATCGGAGCACTTTCCACTTTGAAGATGAGTCCCGACGAGCAAACGGAACGCCGCTGTGCGACTCAGGTTGCAGGGGGAGTGGCCGCTGCTGTTCTCGTGGGAACACGGAGCTCGAGGAGGCGTGGAAGCACACAGTGTCCCCGAAGTCTTGTCATAGCTTTTTATAAGACGAACATTTTTGTTCTTTATAATTGTGCAGTGTCTGACATGAAAAGTCTTTGCCTGCCCCCAAGTCACTGAGTGACATAAAGTTCGTGCCTCGTGAGTGTACGTCGTGACTTCCCAGGCTCCCATCGCAGGCTGGACGGGTGGGCAGACCCGAGTGTGCAAAGGCGGGGTGGGGAGCAGGCGACCTGCAGCAGGTCTGGGGTGAGCCAGGGTGGGAGCCAGGACCCTGGACCCCGGGAGGGGCCTCGGGGCAGGCAGCTGGGCTCCTGCTAGAACCGGATCCTCTCAGACCCCTTGTGTCTAGAAATTCTCCCTCACTTCTCCATGCTTCCTGGGTGATGACTTCTCTCTGGCTTCAGTGGCACCTGTACCTGATGACCCCCTCCTGAGCCCAGGTGGGTATGTCCACGGACACCTCAGGTGACCTGTATGGAACTGAATTCATCTCCCCCACCCCAAGCCTGCTGCTTCTGAGCCCGCTTCTACTTGACCATCGTCCTCTGACCTGACTGCATTCCGTCGGTGAAGGAACCTTGCCTGTCCCCACTCTCAAATCCAGCCCACTTCTCTTTGGCCTGGGCGCTGATCCACACGGCTGCCTAAGGGGTTGTTCTGGAACATGTCCCTCCCTTGTGTGACGCCTGAGCCCGTACCGTCCTGATTCGCTCTCCGACCTCGTCCCTTTGTTTGTGCATGGAGGGCAGGGAAAGTATCCTGTCCAGCCTAGCAACTAACAGAGCTCATTAGGGGAGATGTACAAGGCACATTTTGGGTGGTTGCAGACGAGTGGCTAGCCACTGTGCTTGACCAGGTCAGGGCAGTGTCCCGTTCTGAGAGACCAGCTGGCTGTGGGGTGAGCGAAGGTACTGGCCTCTGTCAGACACTCCAGTGTCATCTCCTGCCTCGGGACCTTTGCACGTGACATGCCTGTGCTAATGGCCCATGCCATCACTGGTGTCACCCTCAGGTTGACAGATTCTATGATCCCCTCCCAGGGCAGGTTGACATGCCCCTTGGGGGTTCCTGTAGAACGCTAGGGTGTTCCTCCTGTGGCCCAGGATCTTGGGAACTCGTCCCCCTTTTCCTGCTAGGTCACTCCTAGGGATGTATGTCATCATCATTGGATTTCCCAGCATCTGCATAGCTGCACGCTTAGTAAATCCTTCATGGATGAACAGAAATCCAAACAGGCAGAAGTAGGCTCAGAACTTTTCCTGACGAAGTTAGTGTAAGCTTCTTTGACCACGCCGCAGGGGAGGCTGACGTGGGAGTGTTGAGTGGGGGGGGCGATGAAATCTGTCTTAACGCTGCTCAGTGGCTGAGTCACTGGGTCATTAGAAATACACAAAGGCTGAGAATAGAAGGGAACATACCTGGTTTTTCTTATATTTGACAGCCTCCTCGTTGAGCAAAATGGCAAAAATAAATTTTCAGAAGCTAGTCTGGCAGTCACTGAAGTAGTGTTTATGAGGTTTTCAAAAAACAACTTAGAGTCACCCTAAACTATTTAATTCACCCTTGAAAGCTTGTGAAATGTGGGGGTGAGTTAGGTGTAAGGCTGCTGCTCCGTGGGCCGGTCTGTACCCGGGCTCCTCGGTCCCCTCCGCAGGACGGGCACCGCGCCGTGGTCCCCCAGAGCGGGACGGATGTCGCACAGCCCAGGCTTGCACCTCACGCAGCACTTGGAGGACTCGGGGTTCAGTCAGCTTTCACGGATGACATATTTCTAAATTTGCTTTTGTATTCAGAAAAAGATGCTAGCTAGATGATCCCATCCTCAATAAATGCTTGATGACAAAAGACAAGACTTTCCAAACTTCCTGACTTTCAAGTTATTTTCTTAGACAGTCACAAGCTCAGTTTCAACAATGTTAC